CACCAGGACAGGTTATACCCTTAACCTCATCCTGTAATTTCCTGAAATACTGGTTTGGATGTTGAAGGTGCCATCTGATGATACTTCAGTGCCAGTTTCATAGTTCGTTGCTTCCATTGTTAAAAAAGAGGGAATACAGGAAGCCTGCCACGCCTAGTCCCTGTTCCAGGCAGACCCTGTTCCAGCTTGTTTTCCTTCTCAGAAGGCTTTTCAGGCCAACACAAACAGCCTTTGTGGCAATGATAAGACCTTGCAGCACACCTAGGAAAGTGCTGAGGAAGGCAGAGCTTGGGCTGGGCGATAGCCCAAGGGTCAGGGAGCACAGACCAGACCTGGGCCAGGTGTCTTGTGATAAGTGAAGTCTGTGCCCAGAGGTGCAAAGTCTCTGATTGTATGGCCAAACTGATACTGAGGCTCTGCTGAGCTTATCTCTAAGGAAAAGAGCCAGAAGGGAGGGAAATGTGTTGATGGGGCTCCCTGTGGAGCCCTGGAGTCCCTCAGAAGCACATCTGGGCAAGCACAGGAGTGTGGTGTGTTTTCAACCCTCAGAAGGGACTGTAAGAGCAAATTGCTTCTAGAAACCCCCTTGAATGGGAGGATAAAATGAAGGTATGCAAAGACCCTCCCCCAGTCAAATGGCTCCAATCTGAGCAATGGGACAAGAGGAAGCAGCTTCAAGGGAGGTTTAGGTTGGATATCAGGGAAAATTTCTTCACTGAAAGGGTGGTCAGGTATTGGAATGGGCTGCCCAGGGCAGCTGTGGAGTCACCATGCTTGGAAGTGTTCAAGAAACATGTGGATGTGGCACCTGGGGACATGGTTAATGGTGGCCTTGGCCAGGCTGGTGGAACGATTGAATCTGATGGTCTCAGAGGCCTTTTCCAACCCAAACAATTCCATGATTCCTGTGCTCTGCTCCCCCCAGGCCTGGATTCCCGTGGATTCCTCATTGGGCCCCCTCTGGCCCAGAGGCTGGGGATTGGCTTTGTGCCCATACGGAAAAAGGGGAAACTTCCCGGTCCCACCGAGTCTGTGTCCTATGCCCTGGAATATGGCAAGGTAACACCCGGGAAGGGCAGGGCAGTCTGGGGCAGGGTTGGGGGTGTCAGCGAGGGGATGGGTGATAAAACCAGCGGGGTGGGCCCAAACTGAGTTTCTGATGCCATGGACAGTCTGCCCAACCTTCAGGAATGGCTCTGAGCTGCTCCGTCCCTGAGCCACAGACACATGGTTCATGCCAGCGAGTGGTTTTTGATGCTGTGCTGTGATTTTTTTGGGGGGTTGGTGCTAAGACTTGATGCTAAATCGCTTTCTTTGGCTTGAATTCAGGGGCATGACCACGGAGAGTGTTTCCCACTCTGCCAGTAAGTGCTCTAAGTCAGTGCCTTCCTGCATGGCTTCCCGAGTCCTGCTCCATAACCCCCTGGCTACTCCGCATTCAGAGCTGAGCTTTGAGCCTAATAATGTGCAGCCGCCACTAGTAACTAACGGCAGCAGAACCCCCAAAGCCAGGCCTTACCATGGGGACCGTTTGGGCCAACCCCTGCCTGGGACAAGCTCAGCTGACACAGGACGTGCCGGTGCCGCTTTGGATCTGGCTTAGGCAGAGCTCTCCAGTGCATTACAGGAGATTTTCCTCACTGGAGAACTGCTCTGGGATAAAATTCCACAATAACTCACATGATGAATGTTCAGGATCTTGACGTGCCAGAGGGTTGGCCCAGCAATCCCCTCCCTGCTCTGTGTTTCCATGGCGCTCCCCTGTAGCTGGAATATGAGTTCTTTGGGATTTTTGGTGCTGCGTGTTTAGGTTGATCCTGCTGAGGACTTGTCTCTGTTCTACCATGTGTGGAACCAGCAATTGATGAAGAGCTTCTCTCTAAGGCCAGACTAAAATGAAGCTGCTCTTTCCACCCTGCAGGCCGAACTGGAAATCCAGACTGATGCCGTTGAACCGGGACAGAAAGTGGTTATAGTGGATGATTTGCTGGCGACTGGAGGTGAGAGAAGCTCGTGTGACCCATGTGCCTATGTGTGTTCATAGAATCATGGAAGGGGTCGGGTTGGAAGAGAGCTTAAAGCTCATCTCATTCCACCCCCTGCCAGGGACAGGGACACCTTCCACTAGACCAGGTTGCTCCAACCTGGCCTTGAAAACTTCCAGGGGCATCCACAACCTCTCTGGGCAACCTGTTGGCAGCAGCAGGAGTGGCCATGGGGTTAGAAGCTGCTCCTGGAGTGAGTATGTTTCTCTCCCCCTCCACAGGTACCATGTGTGCAGCCTGTGAGCTGCTGAAGAGGCTGAAGGCTGAAATCCTGGAGTGCCTGGTGGTCATAGAGTTAAAACCCCTGAAAGGGTTGGAGAAGCTCAGTTCCATCCCTTTCTACTCACTGCTGCAGTATGACTGAGGAGGAGCAGGGAGGAGGGAACACTGGGAACAAATTTGGGGCTTTATCCAGTAATTCTGAGTCACAGGGGGGTGGGCAGGGGGGAAACACACATTTTGATCACGACCAGATGCTATTCAGTCCTAAATCCTATTTCTTTTCCAAGCAGTGTGTTGAGTGTAATGAGCCCTTTTGGAGTTCCTTTTGGGAAGAAGGAACAGCCTGATTGATTGGGAGGGGATGGAGACCAAGATGCAGCTTTTTAGGAGAGCAAAGTGACAATGCTATTGTAGAGCAGGAGAGCTCTGGCAGGGCACCAGCATTCACTGGTTGAGCTGTGCCTGTCAGCCTCCAAGGAACCTGCTAAAAATTTGCCAAAGGAACACAGGAGACAGGCAAAAAATGGTTATTTCTCTCAGGGATAAATCCTGGGGGATGGTCTGGTTGCTCTGTGCTGTTGTTCACACCAGAAGAAGTTGTGCTTGTCAAGGGGAACTAAGTGCCTGCTGTGTCCTTAAATCAGGATGTTGCTGGTGTAGATGAGCTCAGTCACCGTTTTCCTTCCCTGGAGACCACAGGCAGCTCTTGTTGAGCACAAATTCCCAATTTTCTGCACCATACCCGACTCCCTGTGTTAATTTCCCTCTGCTGTGGTGTCTTGGGGCATCAGGATGTTGAAAGGCTAATGCCGGTTCAGAACCTGCTCTTGGTAGTAGTTTGGTGTCAGATAAGGCCACAGCAAAGGTGTTCAGTGGTCTCAGGTGTGCGATGGATGATGGGGTTTGGAGATGCTTCCTCCAGCACAGTTCAGTGTGGTCACAGCTAAAACTTGTTGTGCCAAAACTTCCACATGCCTGAAAACATCAGGGACTGTCTCTGTCCCAGCAGGGACTGGACTCACGGGTAAAATAAACATTGATTTATTTTTATGTTTTCTAAACTGTCTCAGAGCTGTTCTTGCAGTAGCTGAAGCCGTTAATGACCCTTGTGAGCATCTTCCTCCAAACCCAGGTGGTCAGTTCAGCAAGGCTGTGGTGTGAGCTCCCAACGCTTGGAAGGAGTTTTTTTCCAAGGAGTTCAGGTACCTTTTCTCTAGACCTTGCACAACCTCTGGCTGGAGGGAGGCAGACCAAGCCCCCCCAGCTCAGCTCCCCTTTTTCCATCCAGTGCATGGGGCCACCTCACACCCAGCCCTTAACACTTGTAAGGACTATTCCAGCTATTTTTATCCCCATTTCCTGAAAAGCCACTTCAGTGCTGCTCAGTTTACGCTGAGAACCACCATTCCCTTGGGATCAACCTATCCCAGGGCACTTCTTTCACAGCCAGCCCTTGTGGGGAGCCAAGGGAGGCAGCACCTCACATACTTGGCACAAGGAGAGGGTCCATGCTGCGGGGGAGAGAAGGGAAAAGTCAGTTCCACCCCAGAGAGCCATGGAAAGCAGCTGCGTGCCGGGGAAGCAGCGTCAGCCCTGCCAGTGCCAGCGCTGGCTGCGCACGGGGCCAGGAGGTGACATCAGGGAACGTGGGGACAGTGCCTTTGGGTTGCCAGCAGCCCCTGATGTCATTTGCTTGGAGAGACAAGGCTGTGCAGGGGTGGCTTCCAGGTGGGAGAAGAGGAGCAGAACGGGAGCTTGCTCCGAGCTCTCCTGGGGTGCACAGGTGGCTGCCAGGCTGTTGAATCCAGCTCTACAATCCAGCTCCTGGAATCCAGCTCCTCTACAATCCAGCTCCTGGAATCCAGCTCCTCTACAATCCAGCTCCTGGAATCCAGCTCCTCTCCAGTCCAGCTCCTGGAATCCAGCTTCTTTCCACCACGGTGAGGTCCTTGAGCAATGGCTGGTAGCCCAGCCTACCGCAAAGGCCCCCAGCTTCACACCCAAGAGCCCCCCAACCTTGCACCCCAGCCCTGTGTATCTCTCCAGTTCCTGGGCTGGGTTTAAACCCTCCTCCTCCCTGGAAACTGGGCAACCTCCTGCCAGCAGTGCCTGCCAACTGGGCTGCACACAGCAAGCAGGGGCCTGGAGGAAGACAAAGAGGAGGAAGGTCTGCCTGCTCCCTTGGGAAGAAGTGCTGTAGGATCTCTGATGCTGCCTGACTTCAATCTGGCACTTAAGGTGGGAAATCTGGCCAGGACCAGCATAGGGTGAAGGGATGAAGGAGAGTCACCTTTCTCTGCAAGTCCTCGATGGCTCCTGCTCCAACCAGCCCAGTTTGGCTCAGGAAGCAGTGTGAGGTGTGTCTGACGTGGCACTGGGCAGCTCCCACCTCCTCCCCTGCACCCACACTGCCCTGACCCGGGCACTGCGCCAGCCCAGCACCTCTGAGCAATTCTCACCCTCTCTGTCCCTCTTCTCAAGCCACTTCAGCCGAGTGGCCTGGTCTTTCCTCTGGGAAAAAGCCCCCCCCTGCACACCCCAGCCCTGCCTGCTCCCTTCCCTGCAGGAGCTGCTCCCCCGTCCCCATTTACAAAAGCTGCTTTCAGCTCCCTGCAAACCCACGCTCACTTTTTCCAGTAAGTCTTTCTCCAGGAGCTGGATGAGGACCCAGCCCTTCCCGGTGCCAATTGCCATGGAGAACCACGAGACAGGCAGCTCACGGAGGAAGAGTGCTGGGTTAACACAAGTCAGCTATATTTAAAACATTTAATACAAATATGTTTTGACAAGTCCTGTAGTTGTTTCCAGTGACGGCTGGAAGATGCGTTTTCCCTCCCTTAAAAACAGAACAAGGCCCAAAGCTCCAAGACCGTCGATTTGTGACTTTCTCTCTCACTCCTTCCTGCCTGTCACCCTCTCACCTCACCCTGCCCTGTCCTACCTTCACCCCACCAGGACCCAGTTCATGGAAGAGACCTCAAAAATTAGATCTTCAGGAGAAACATCCTGCATTAAAACTTCAGTAGAACACAGGAAAGCCAAGAAGAGGTTCCTCAGCTCATTTTCGTCGCTTGCATTGTCACCCCAGGATGTAGGATTGCTTGAGGATTAGGGGAGCTACAGCCCTCATGGGTCCCACCCCAGGATCCCTTAAATAAAAAAATTAAGGCATTTTGCCCTTCCTCAGACAGCCCTGAGGATAAGCCTCCCATCAGCCCACACCAGAACTCAGAGTGCAGTTGGGATTTGCTACATTTAGAGGAGATTGCACAGGGCAAACCTCGATCCCTAGGGGGCTCAGAGGGCTTCCGCCTCCTTCGCCGCCTTGGTGAGCCTCTCAGTGATGAGGCCAAGGTCCTTCTCTTTGTCCAGCTTGATGTAGGTGTCTGTCCTGATGGCGTGGATGCCCACCCAGTCAGGCAGGAGCTCCGCGAAGAGCCGCAGGTGCTTCTCCATCTCAGCTGCGAACAAGGAACAGGGCGTCAGAACTTGCCTCCCCAGCCCCTTCCCTCTGCAGAGACACCCCCCCCCGAATTCCTACCAGGTGCCATCAGCTCGTCGTAGCTGTCGCCCAGGCGGGCACAAACCACCTCCATGGGCAGCGCCTGCTTCTTCTCAGCCACAAAGACGCTGCGCAGGACTCGGGCCATGGCCGGCAGCCGGCCCAGCATGGCCACGCGCTCCTCCTGCTGCGTGTCCCGCGTCATCAGCGCCTGCAGCTTCCGCGCCTCCTTTGCCCGGATCTGGGGAGCGGAGGAGATGGGGTGAGGCCCAGGCAGCACCTCCAGCACCCACCTTTCATCCAGGACAGAATTACTCACCCTGTCGAGCAGCGCCTGGGACACCCCTTTGAGAGCGCTGGCGGTGCTGGCAGGGGACGGTGCTTTGGAAAGCACCGGTTCCCCCGCACCGGCTTCGGCTGTTCTTAAGGCCAGGTTGGCAAGAGCTTTTTCCATCTGCTCATGTGGAAGAAGGAGGAGGAGTTGGATTACAGCTCAGGCTGGAGGAAGGAAAAGTTTCCCCTCTGCTGCCCCTGCCGTCACCCTTCAGCCCAGCGATCCCAACCCAGCGCTCCCAGCTCATCCCTGTCTGCACAGAGGAGTTTGAGGGGCTTCATAGAATCATGGAATGGTTTGGAAGAGACCTTAAAGCCCATCTTGTTCTACCCCCTGCTATGGGTAGGGACACCTTCCACATCCCCGGTTGCTCCAAGCTCCATCCCACCTGGCCTTGGACATTTCCAGGGATGGGGCAGCCACAGCTTCTCTGGGCAGCCCGTGCCAGGGCCTCCCCACCCTCCTAGGGAAGAATTTTTTCCCAATATTCCATCTAACCCTGTCCTCTGGCAGTGGAGAGCCATTCCCCCTAGTCCTGGCACTCCAGGCCTTGTCCAAAGTCCCTCTCCAGCTCCCCTGCAATCCCTTTAGGCACTTGAAGGGGCTCTAAGGTCTCCCCAGAGCCTCCTCTTCCTCAGGCTGAACACCCCCAGCTCTCCCAGCCTGTTTCCAGAGCAGAGGAGCTCTAGCCCTTGGATCATCTCTCCCAGGATCGACACCAGTCCTGCACCACAATCTGCAGCACCACCAGCCAGGTTTGTGTCCCACCTGCCTCCAGTCCTGTGGCTCTGGAACAATCCCTCCCAACCCCTGTCCAGTCACATCTTCTCAGAGAGATGGCACAGACAGAGCCAGACCCCAGCCCTGACTCACCTTGGGGCTCAGCATCCCCCGAGCTGTGTTCAGCACCTCCTGGGCTGTGCTCAGCCTGTCCTCCTGTGGTGGCTGTGGCAGCTCCACAGGGCTGATGTCCGGCACCTCATCCACATTGAAGCGGGGATGCCAGCGGGTCAGCTTGTCCTCTGGCACCTCCAGGGGAGGGCTGAGAGCAGCCAGGAATGCCTGGAGAGGAGCAAGAGCTGTGTCGTGGCACCAGGTATGGAGGAGTTGGCTGTTGCCCTGCACTCCCAGCATGGCTTGGCAACACATGGAGGGAACTCAGAGCCCACCCACACCTGCTGCCAAGAACATCCCATGGGAACCAGCCACGTCCTTCAGCCTGTCCTTTAGTTGTCCTAGATAGTGACAACCCCAGGGCCCCAAAGCAGGGGGTGCCAGGTGCCCCTCACCTTGTGGTGCTGCTTGACGATGTTCACCAGGTTCCGACGGAATTCCTTCCTGCGCTCCAACAACCGCGATGCCGACAGGTGAGGGCGACCATCCACCTTCTCCTCTGCAAGGAGGAACATGAGCATCACCCACAGCACCTCCCCAAACCTTGGGAGCCTCGGGAAGGATGGGATCAGACTCCCACCATGGGGCTGAGTCACTGCCACAATCACTGCCCTGCATCTTCCCTCTTGTTGCAAAAGCGTTTCCCATTTTCAACAAGCTCAGGCCTGCAGATGATTATTTAATGGACCAAGCAGAGCATCCCTATGGATTCAGAGATCTTAGCTGGGACTGAGCACACTCCAGCTCTTGGACACCCCAAAACCATATGTACCTTCTCCCACCACTGGCTCCAGCGTGAGCTGGTACTCTGACTTCTTCCTGCCATCACCAAACGTGGGGATGTTCTTCTCCTGGCGCAGCCGGTACGAGGTGGGATACACAGCCTTGATCTGCCCCACGTGACGCTCCTCAAACTGCCTGCAACAGCACCCCGAGAGGTTGGGGACCCCAACAGTCATCGGCCCCAACAGCTTCAGCTGGGACCCCAAAAGGGGCTGCTGGGACCCCAAAAGGGGCTGCTGGGACCCCAAAAGAGGCTGCCCAGCGCTGCCAACTTACCTGCGCATCATGTCCTGCACCCCCTGCTTGACCTTGGCGAAGGTGATGGTCTCGGCGCGGTTGAAGAGCATCCCGGCGATGGTGTCCAAGCTGCGGAACATCTCTGCCAGCACCTTGAACTTGTAGGGCAGCGTGAGCCCTGGGGGCAGGTCCTGAGCAAGGGTGTGGAACCGCTGGTATGCTGGGGGCTTCTCTCTGAAGAAAGAAAGAAGGTTCTAGATAGACATTGGCCAGGACGGGGGTCCTGCTGCTGACTCCGGATAGTGGGACCCACCTCCCATTCCCATTCCAAAACCCTTCCCTCAGCAACCTGTGCCAGCATCAGGGTCACATCACCTGGAAACAGTGACATCCCAATGCTCAGGGTAGCTTGGGCCACGCTCAGAATCCCCACACCCCCTCATGGGGTGGGAAGACACCCACAGAACCACTGTGGGGCTGTGGCAACTGCTGGGACACCTTGATTTTCCCTCAAAATCACTCCCTGGCTGCTCCTCACCCGGCCTCTGCCGCAGGAGCTGCTGCTCCAGTGTCCCTGGATGGCCGTGCTCCCGATGTGGCTTCACTTTCCGCTTTCCTCTGCCGGATCCGCAGCTCCAGCTGCCGCACTCGCTCCAGGTGGCCCCGCAGGTCCTGTGCTGGTCCCACTG